AATTTATTGTAAGGATGTGATGGGGATATATATGACTATCAATTGGCCTGGAGTTTCTGACCTAGAACTCGCCACCAAGCCGAGCAATCAAAATGGGCCTGGCCGAAACCGGCTCGGTGCTCGTCCAATCTACGTCTGGGCAGTGTTAGGATCCGGCATGAAATCAGGAACTCATTTTCCTACCTTAGCAGCAGTCAGACTATCACGCTCATGAAGACCTACTCCCTAACCATCTCCTCACTGACATCGCTCTTAGGTCACTCTGATCGGGGGTTAGTATTCTGAGCTTTCATTTGGCGATGCCCTTGATCAAGTTTTCAATGAAATGTCAGCGACGGATCGATCTTTATGTTTCTGGATGGACATCCTTCGTTTTTGGCTTCTTGGTCTATCGTGTTCTTCCAACCCAACCTATTGAGACCATTGACGACTACCAGATGCTCATCCTGGAGTTCAATCTAGCGAAGTCTTTTTTCTCGAGAAAAGTTCGGAGTTTCCTGGTCCAGCGCATCACCACCCATGAGCAGGTAGCTGAATCAGCTTTTTTTCAGGAGGCCACGGCGCATTGTTCTTTAAGAAGGAACATTTTCATGAAGGATAAGATTCTCTACGGAAAATAATGAGATCTTCAATCAATCATTAGGATTGGTGAGTCAACGAATATAATATTCTTGAAATGGAGCTTTTTAGTGCAATAAAATTATTGGAGAGAAATATGAAATCGTGAAGAATATCAGATAATCGAACAAGAGGAGTGTTATTAGCCCCTATTGGAAACCTTCGCAAACCATCTTCAGAGCCATGTTTACAGGAACTTAACCTCTCTCCAACTTTCCACGCTGGCTCCAACGAGGAGCCAAGATGAGCGAAGGAGGGTGCTGAGTCAATTGCCCTTGTCAAGGTTGCTCAGCAAGAGTCTGAGTGGGCTGAAACACACCACCCCAACTTAGGGCTTTTATAGATGCTGGATATCTCATCCCAGGCAGGACGACTCCAAGTGACTCTATTTATTTGGATTATCGCCGCCAGAATTTTGGGATCTAACTCACTGCATCAACCGGTCATCACACCAGTTTCATCACTAAGAAGCGTCCTATTCTTGGTAACCTCTTCTCGAGTTTCGTGTCAACAGGTATAAAAATTCAAATCTTGAATTCACCAGACCCAAGATTTGAACGACATACGGCAATTAAAAAAATGCATGCATTGAAAAACTCCTACAGTACAGAGTGATTAATTAGTTACAAATCCTCTCAATTTGAGTAGCTGAGATACATTTAGTTACAAAGATTCAACATATTCATAAGATCTTCCCATTTTCTGACTGAAGTTCAATACAAGCGCCTTGTTTTAACCTATTCTCAACGCTCTTTTAGTCAAGGAAGAGGCTGCTGGCCTTTAGAAAGCTTTATTCGTCCCCAATGCATAAAATTTTGTACCTTAAGGAACCAACTTACATCATCCGTGCAGTTTGTCATTTTTCGTGTGAAGAGGTTTGGCTTCTTCATTTGCTTCAGCTTCTTAATCATGCTTAAACCTCCATATGTTTCAAAATTCAAACCTTCGACCATAATTTGGGATTTAATTCTACTATTTTCATGCAAGAAAAAGAAAAACTCTCCAATTTAATAAATAAAATATAGCATCCATTTGTGATGCATTAATACATTGAATGTATTTCATGTTTTTATTAAATTAAATAGTTATTATAGATCACCATAAAAATAGTATTGATATGAAGATAACATATCAATTTAGAGATAGTTAAACCATAATCCATTGGGATCTCAGTTTATTTGCAAATTATTTAGAATATCACCATCACCGAAGTGAACACTAAATATAAAGTTAAAAATCCAAAATCTATGGGTTTCTATAACTATTTAGCATCTATTTGAAATGGTGTAATAAACAATACCAACCTAATACAAACTATCCATTGCTTTATGCTAGGTTCCAAAATATATTTTTATTCTATAGGGATTTTTAAATAAAATTTTATTTGGTGAGATTATAAACTTGAAAAATATATTTATCATAAAATATTAAATAACTATATTTTTTTAAAAAAGTAATATTTTAATTTTACAAGGTGTTGTATTACCATTTTAATGACTCAAGGACTTTTAATTATTAACCAACTAAATTAATTTTATTAGTGAAGTATTAATACTGGAATTAATGAGGTCCCTATATGTTGCAATATTTAGGTGTAGAATGTATACAAAAGCTCTTGGGGAAATATAACATATGACCTACACAATTTTTTTTTTGATAATTATAAGGGTCTTGTGATGAGCCCTTTAGAGAGCAAATATAATGTCTCATTTTTATCTCACTAGTTTTCAAAGGAGCTAAAAATATTACTAAGTAATGAAACAAAGTTACCATATACATTGAAACTTGAAAGGAATTCTAGTTAAGCTTAAAAATAATTATCTAGATAGCATGATTGATGTTGCCTTTGAAATGAATGAATTCAATATTTCATACAAAAAAATACTTTTAATGGAAAAGGGCATCCATGAATGCACACATTGTCTTGACTCAAAGAAAATGTCAAGCCAAGCGTTATTGACGGCTATTAACCATTGAAATTGTTGAAGAAATCGGTCCAACACAACACTATCAATGGGTTACAGCTAAAAATGCTGATAAAATTTGCCTATCCTTAGTATCTCATTATTTTGAAAAATATCTTCCTATAATTGGCATGCATCGAGTCTACTGGTGAAGGCATCACCATTGTTAATTCCAGATGAATTTACACTATGATTTTTTTTCTACCATATAGAAGCCCATAATTACCCCGTAAGCCCATAATTTACACTATGATTTTTTGCACTATGATTTTTTTTCTACCATATAGAAGCCCATAATTACCCCGTAAGCCCATAATTTACTTGTTAGATTTGCTACATCTGGTTCCCATTAAAGTTTCCTAGATTTAACTTTTTAGATCCCAGTTTCAATTCCCACTACGGATTTTTTATATGCTTGTGTATCTGAATTATTTTCAATAACATGAAAAAAGCACGTGTAGGAGAACTTTTTGTTACTTTGAAATTTTGGGTAATTGCCTATGGTTGAAGAAAAGTTGTTCTCATTTTTGGGAAAGGTAAGCAACTATTTTTTAATTTCCGGATATTTTGTAAAATAGCGATAATTACATCCTTGTCATCTACAATAAGACAAACTGTGGAGTTCAGTCTTAACGAAGGTATTCTTTAACATAATTCATAAATAAAATTTAAAATAAATTTTATTTTATTTTATGAGAATGGGTTTTCATCATATAACTACATTTAGGAATCTTCTTGGGCATTAATCAAAGAAGTTTCTTCGTTTTCTGATGATAACTTGACCATTTCCTAATGCTGCCTAGTGTTTCCTAACGAAAATTCTTCCTGTTATGCTCCTAAATAGTCATTTCCATGCTTTAGATGGGGATAGAAAGCCATTATCAATTCATGAATATAATTGTGTGTGAGCAGGAAGGAGGTCAGGTCTTACATATTAAAGATTTCTTTTGAGATAAATCTCTTCAACGTGATGCTGACGGCACATCCGATGTGCTCCGTGTAAGAACAAAATCATAGATTCCTTTCTAATGCTGTAGAATTCATAACCAATAAATTACGACCATAATATTATGCCGTCAAACTCAAAACCATAAATGATGCCCTTGATGCTTAGCACATCTTTCATGATCTTCAGTGAGATTTCGGATGGCGACTCTTCATAGGCAAGTGGACAAGAACCGAACCATGAGGTCTGCAGAAGGAACCTCCCCAGGAAAGAACGACGGAGATAATGGGGTCCCCCTACAGTGAGAAGTCCCTTCTCGTCCGTCGGCAAGTTTCATGGAATCCAGGGGTGAAAACAAGGCACCATGAATGTTTCTGCCAGGTTCGTACATTGATCTGCACCATAAATCCAGAAATCATACGTGCCGTGGGGTACTCATCTAGAATCAGCCAGAGGAAGAGCCAGATGGGTCTGGTAGGCTCAATCATTGTGATGGTCTCCAGGTCTATGTAGTTTTTTCTATAGTCTGAGTTTATCTTCTATGTAAGTTGTTATATTCGAAACCACCTCTGTCATAACACAGTTGTATAATTCTGATAGTCCTCAGTAACATAGTACCTTATTTGACGATTTTTTTCAACAGGGGAGTCTATTTTTTATTCTGGAAAATCCTTTATCTGAACTATGCTGCCCAAAAGTTAAAAAATATTGAAATTTTTAGGGATCAAGTCAGTCGAATGGACAAGAAAATCAACGAGACCCATAGGAAGCCGAAGGTGGCTAGATGACTAAAGATAAGACAAGAAAATCAGGTCACGAGTTTTCCGTTCGTACAGAGTGTGCCAATTTGATGTTTGACGTAATGCTCCTGCCCTCATTGATCAATAATGGCTACTGCCCTCATTGATCAATAATGGCTCCTGCCCTCATTGCCTGGAGAGACGAGTGGGCAACCTTTACGCGAGAATTACTCGCTGCATGTGTCTGGTCATAGAGACTGCCCTTTTACGGGCATCTCATCAGGAACTTACCTTAGTTTCATTCCGTCTTTACTAAAAAGCATCCGGGTTAAGGATCTTGGGCTTCCTGGGGAATGAGTTAAATGAATCCATGACGGATTCAATGCATTATTTCATTTTATCGTTGATTACTTTTGAAGTTTCTTCCCAGCATTCAACTGGCTCAAGCACATTTTTCTGTTTGCTCGTGGGTTAGTCTGTGACTTGTGTCTTCCCTCGTGCCTTTAGTCACCATCGGTCTTGGCTCGATAAATAGGAAAAAGACTTTTTGTCTAAGAATATTTGTCGATTGATTGAGATCTGGGCATCTCGGGCATATGGCTTATAGAAAATCGTCTCACTTTGATGAAGTGTGTCGCATATATGTTTTATATTATCCGTGATCTTGCGCTTTCCACACGCCAACTCAACCAGCCAAATACATTAAACGAGAGAGTCTTTTTTACGTTAGACCAGATCCCAAGTTTGCCCCTCCGGCCCGGGTCATTCACAGATGAACGAAACCAACGATTCTCCGTTGCGGGGTGCCTACCTTCTATGGCGTAGTGATTTCAGACAGAGCTGATCGTCTGTTCTTCCTTGTCTACCAGCTTACAATCTCATCGTATCCAATAATACAAAGTAGGTGCCTATCAGCAAGCTCGGAGGTTTGCGGGTAGGCCTGCACCTTCTCCACTGAATTATCTATTAACCGACAGAAAAATTGAAGGGCATCATACGTCCCTTTCATTGTTGTCTCAGCTTCGTAGGGCATTGAATCAATCCCCATTGGCCGTGAAAACCCACGTACACATCATGGATGTCTTGTACTGCTGATCGGACCCATCTCTAGAATATTTTTCTTGTAATCGAGTCCTGAGGCGTGTGTCATTTTGGCATCGGTCTGTTTGTTGGAGAGCATACATATAGATGCTAGTTCCGAAAACAAGGTGATCCTGCGTGTGCTCCCACGATCCTTCCTCCCTGGCCTCCTTCCCACGAGGGACAGTTGGCTCACAGGTTTCCTTCCTAGGCGACTGAAACCGTCCATAAGCTCCTCTTCTCTGTCCTCGGTTTCCTTGCGTTATCAGAGCACTGGGCATTACTCATCTTGAGCTTTCTGTCAACTGAACTTCGCTGATACATTAATTCAAGGTGGGTGTCCCATTTTAGGGCAGCTCATACCCGGTCGCAGGGCATATCTGTGTCGTAGACCATGAGAAACGTAATCAGATTACAACGGCACAGCTTTTATTATTGGCTTTCCGAAGGTTTCTTATGTTTAGAAGATCTACATACGCAGAAGTCAAATGTGCCTTGAGCATATCTCTCTCTCTCTCTCTCTTTCCATCTTATTAATCTTGGTAACATTGAAAATTTTTCAGTTCATCAAGAATGGGGATCATACCCGCCATCTTTCTTCTATATCTGACGACGTCAGTACCTAGAGGTCAAAGCCTCGTGGCGAGCTTCCTGGAGATGTACGTTGATCCTCTCCCTCAGATGCCCAAACTCTATGGTTACGCCAACAAAGGTGGCAAACCCACCGCAACTTCCCTCAAAATCGGCATGTACCAGAAGACTTGGGTATGTACAAATAAATATATATATTCGTTGTTTATTACATATGTTTCAGTATATCTTCTTCTTGGCGCAGAAATTTCACCGGGATCTTCCTCCGACGCCCGTCTTCGTGTTCGGCGCCAGCGCCACCGCAGCGACGTTCCCCGGACCGACTATCGTCGCGCGGCAAGGTGTACCCTTGACGATCAGATGGGAGAACTACCTCCCCAAAAGCCACATTCTTCCGTGGGACAAAACCATCCCCACTGCTGTCCCCAACAGAGGCGGAGTCCCCACGGTCGTCCACCTCCACGGCGGTATCCACCCGCCGCAGAGCGACGGCAACGTCCTCGCCTGGTTCACCGCCGGTTTCGCCGAGAAAGGGCCGGCGTGGTCTCTGGCCAGTTATACGTACCCCAACGTCCAGCCGCCCGGAAACCTTTGGTACCACGACCACGCCCTCGGGCTCACCCGCATCAACCTCCTAGCAGGCCTCCTAGGCGCCTACGTCATCCAAAAACCCTCTGTTGATGATGACCTGGGCGACATCACGGATTCCGAGTACGATCGTCACCTCGTTATCGTTGACCGGAGCTTCAACGCTGACGGCACGCTCTACATGAACGCCACGGGGAACAACCCTTCTGTCCACCCGCAGTGGCAGCCTGAGTACTTCGGCGACGCCATCATAGTCAACGGGAAGGCTTGGCCTTACTTGACCGTGAGGCCCCGGAGATATCGCTTCCGGATAATCAACGCGAGCAACGCCCGCTACTTCCGTTTGTCGTTGGCCAACGGACTCCACTTCATCGTCATCGGCTCTGACTCGTCCTACCTCGCCTCCCCGGTGAGCACGCGCAGCATATTACTAGCACCGGCGGAGATCGTCGATGTGGTCATTGACTTTTCCAGGTCATCAGTGAACGTGACAGAATTAGTCAACGATGCTCCTTACCCATACCCCACCGGCACGCCGGCGGGGCCTCTGAACGGTAAGGTCATGAGATTCCTGATCAAGCCTGAGAAAGTCGGCCTAGCGAACAATTTCACTGCCCCAAAGGAAGTGAACCACGCAGCTGTGGCCGTCGGCGACGCCACCGTCAAGAGGTACATCACCATGTATGAGTACCTCAGCGAGTCGGGGCAGTCAACGCACCTCTACATCAACGGCAGGAGGTTCGAGGATCCGGCGACGGAGACACCGAAGCCCGGGACGACGGAGCTGTGGAATGTCATCAACCTCACTGGAGACAACCACCCCCTCCACATCCACCTGGGTATATTGCAGGCCATAAGGGTGCAAGAGCTGCTCGACCTGCCCACATTCTACAACTGCATGACGACCAACAACGATGCCGTGAAGTGCAACGTCGCCGCCCATGCCGTCGGTAAGCTGCTACCTATCCCTGAACACGAGAAGACGTGGAAGAACGTGGTGAAGATCGAGCCGGGGTTCATGACCAGCGTGGTGGTGAAGTTCAAGATCGTTGACACCAATCAAAGTTTCCCCTTTGACGTCACCACCGAGCCTGGTTACGTCTACCACTGCCATGTGAGTCTCTCTCATTGACCTCTTTGAACCCATCGGAATAGCCCCACGTCGAATAATTTACTAAGTTTGCTGAAGGCACTAACTTTTTGCAGATCTTGGATCATGAAGACAACTCCATGATGCGTCCACTCAAGTTCATAGCCTGAAGATATCTACGGTGGATTATGTCTTCTTAGTTATGAATGATTCATTTTCTTTTGTAGTAATCAAGCCGAAATCCAACAAGATATGGTGGATACAGACGGTGCAGATGTAAGCCAAAGTTTGTCATCGTAGTCTGTACTTCGCATCAAAATAAGGGTTTTTGGGCCCATCAACTAGTCCACAAATATAGACAGTGCGAACCTTAATCATACATCCGTACATTACGTGAAGGCCTAACGACCTCTAATATATGGGTGAGCATTGGGTTATTGGGTCCATCAACTAGTCCACAAATCAAGTGAACATTTGCAGACACAACTGAGCAACGCTGACTACGAGTGTTTTCCTAGTAGTTGGAGGAGCGCGTGCGGCCGAAGGCATATAAAATTGTGATGTAAATTGACGAGTCATCGAGCCAAATAGACATAAAGGCATGACTCAAGCTCAAACTTGCCTAAGAGTTTATTTTATTCGGCCGAAAAATATATTTTTTGAAAATCTTATTTGTCTTTTTCTCCACTGCATAAATTTTGGTCTCACATCGACGAGGATGATCAGTTAAAACAAAATTGCGGCGTAGTATGCGAATTTAGCATTCCTACTCATCATGATAGGCAGATGGCAGGGGTTTTGGGTCAAGGTTTATACCATGTCATCCGAGGTTGATCCTCATCCGCTTTATAGACGATTGATTTGCGGACATAGCTGATTTAGTTTTTTTTAACACCCTCTGAAGCCAATCTAGATTAGCCAAGAATCAAGGTCAACCGATCCTACAAACCACAGTTATCGACAATAACTAGCAGAAATAAGCAACAAGAAGTTACTAAAATGTCTGGTCGCTTAAGTTCATATTCGAAAATAATGGCTCTGATTTCCTTTCTAAAGGGATTACTTCACATGGCCGCTGGAAATGCTGAAACTAAATGTTTACATTAAGGTGGAGGGGCTGCGTGAGTAGAAAGATGAATCTCGTCACTAAGTAGGCAGGAAGTGCTGTTGGTTACCAATGCCCCAAAGAAAAGGCCAGATAATTGGCTCTGTAGGAGGGCCCTCTAGAACTATAGCCAAGAAAAAGGGTAAGGGGGGCTCTGCGAGGAGAGTATAAGGTTTAAGGAAGAGCTTCCTGGTTAGAGGTGGGAATGGGCCATGGCAAGCTAGCTTTACGAGGCCTGGCTCGACCTCAGGTGACATTGCCAAATGCCGGAGGCAGTCTAAGCTAGAGAAAAACAGCCTCGGAAAATGGGCTTCAACGCATAATCCTACGAAGCTTGACCCTGACTTGACCATGCCAACCATGCTAAAAGGTTTTTCGCTGAGGGTGCAGTGAACGGGGTCTTGGAGGTTTATCGGTGGGTGAGAGGAGGATAGGAACTGCCAGTCGATTGGGAAGGATTGGGGCGTCGGGTGCAAGGTTTGGAGTCCTGATAATACCATAACTCAACTGAAGTACACACGGCTTTCTATGGAAAAACCTAATGGAAGGTTGGAAGAGAAAACAAGGGGACGATGGTTAGAAGAGAACATCGGGGTAAAGATGAGGACATATGCCCTAACCATTGCTGTTCAACATCTAACAACATCTGCTCTTACTTGATGTAGTTGTACATATGATGGCATACTATGTACTGATATAATAATAGCAACCTACCTATATAAAGAGCAGAGGTTTCATCACTTTTCAAAGCCGGATTGAGGAGAGAGACATCGGGGAAGTGGAGACAAAGGACGATCCCAGCCGGATGAGAATGCCAGCAGGATTGAAGCCGATCAGGAAGGGAAGTGCTTGGTAGTTGGTAATTTTCGCAAGAAGGGGTAACAAATGGAGGGGGGAGAGAGAGAGAGAGAGAGAGAGAGAGAGAGAGAGAGAGAGGGAGGGAGGGAGGGAGGGACAGAGGAGGACAGAGAGAGGAAAAGGGGGTGGGGGGAGAGTTTCACACAAGCTTAACCAGCACTGAAAGTTCCTAACATCGGAAATTTGACACATGTGATTTTTACAATTTAAAATGGATTTTTTTTTTTCTTATACAACAGATAGAGTCAAAATGTCATAATGCATCTCAAACTCTACTCTAAAAAGGATGCCCTTTAGAGGTTCAGGATCAAAAGGACTTAATTCTATTTCTAGCTTTAATGCAAAAAAGGAGATTTTCGAGAGGAGAGGGTTTTGATGATGATTGTGATATGATAGATTAGGCACCCAATTTCTTTATTTCACTTTGCTTCTCCAAAGATGAACTCCATAGAAATTGTCATAAATCGTTCGAGCTCGTCCCCTGACTTCTTTGTCTAAACGAAAAGGGTTTCAAGAATATCAGACATGTAGGCAGTAGCTCCAAACTCCTTGGACTTCTGTCCAATAACTTAGTTGTTGGAGATTATTGTTTTCGTCTATTATCCAATGGACGGCATATTATAGTATCACACTCCTTGGCACATTATGTATCGTACTGCCATCCTAGTTGGGTCAAGGACAGCTAGCCTCCCTCAATCGCCATCTTCACCAACATCACCTTTGTCTTCAGTGTGGCCTTAAACTCCTCCAACACCATCACCATCATTGAGTTGCATCCGTTGCTCGGTCGGGGATGGAGGAGGAGAAGAAAGAATAAGAACAGGAAAATTTGGCTGCTGTCCCCCAATCATTGCCACCGCCGCGGATCCTGCCGTGGCCTCCCCAGCGGCTTGCAACCACTCCCCTTGAACTCTGTATGCATTTAAGGGAGAGGGTAACTTTCAAGGCTTCCTCAAATGAAGTGCCCATTAAAGTTGATATTTTGTGCATATATTATTGTTAAATAATCTTCGTTGGCCCTACAATTGAATACCCCGCCATTGACGCAGCCGACCAACCCTCTCTCTCTCTCTTTCTATTCATATTATAGGACAGGGGCATCTTGTTGACGGAGTCTACTCTCTCTCTATCTCTCCAACCATCTTCATTTATCTAACAAATGCACACTCATCTTACTGACCATCTATATAGACACTCTTTCTCTGATTGCTGACATCGTGCGGTACGGTTCTGTAACTCGAATTTCCAACTTTTACTTTCAGTACAAACAGGATGAGCGAAACGGTCAGTCTCCAATCTTCTCGTTCGCGCCGCACATGTACTACGCGACGAGGACCTTACCGTCAGACCCGTCGCTCTTGCAGTACTGCCAGTACTATCGGCCTCCACGCGAGTACAAGCCGCCGTGCCTGTCCCGACAATTAATTGCACCGCTTGCCGCCGGCGCCGGAGCCAGACGACAGAGAAGCTAGGGTGAAAGAAAGTTCCGATATCGGCGGCCTCGCTACCGCCGGTGGCCGGGCCAGGCTGAGGCACTCCTTTTCGTGGGCTTCATTCTTCGCCACATTCTTCCACGTCTTCTCGGGACGGCGCCGATCGGGGCCCCTCCAAGAGAGGACATGGAGGAATGCGGTCAAGACAATAAGGCCGATGAATCTGTTGCGTCGGACGGCTGACCACGTAGGCTCTCGTTATCCTTTCCTCCTCCCCTTAATCGTTCGCCCTTTTCTTTCACTCGATTACCCGATGCCTATTACGGTCCTCTGGATCTTGCCGAGAGACCGGCGAAGAAACAAACATGGTGATTAATGAGGTTTTTTGCTTTTACCTCCCCATAAATCAGTTCAATTACTGATAAACCTCTCATCTTTATGTTTAGATTCGTAGCTCCCAATTCTTCAATTATGCTTATGTCACATGCATCTTACTCAGGCGATGTTAACCTGGGTAAAATTTTAATCATATGATATGTCAAATAGTCTATCCACATGTTTGACCTTCACTCTATGTCAAGAAGTACATGAGTTATCCTTGTCAATTTTTCATTTTTTTCTCTCTTCTAACTAAAGATAGGTAAACACAACTTTTGTGGGTAGGCACACTATGTTACTAACCTGATTCATGAGTCGAGATACTTTTTCTCACCTTCGTTTTTCTTTTGAGTTGATTTCTTCTCATTTATTTTGACTTGGCTTGTTCTTCATGGATCAGTATGCTTTATTGTCATTTTCATTTTCTATGTGATCACAATAACAATTATATAATTTACTCTTTAAAATAAAATTTATATAATTAATGATGTATTTAATCATGAGCATGATATCTTATTAAACTAAAATCTAATAATTTATAGTAGGTTTTTCTTTTAAATCAGCTCTAGTCCTCTAGTAAAGAGATGATTCATTTTTGGAGATTACATTTGCTCAATCTTCTTCTACTTTTTGTGAAACTCTCTTTGTCTAAAGGTTCTATGATCAGTGTTGTAATATGTTTTTCAAATTCTAAAAAACTTAGAATCATACTTTCTACACTTATGAGAAATGTGAACAACACATACATTTATGTATGCATTAGGTAGATTCATCTAGTTGTATTCTCATTCATACAACTTGTGAGAAATATGAAAAACACATACATATTCAACTTTAATAATACATAACTAATAATAAAAATATTTAAAATCTAGAATAAATAAGCCTAGATTGTCTTTATAATCTGATCTGTATTATAATATAGAGCAAATCATTCATATGAGAGACTTTGATTATTAATATTTTATGTTAATTGACAATCAATTCATAATTATAATTCACAGAGGTCATTTTATATTTGACTCATTGGATCTTAAGTTTTCATGACTTTATAGGTCATCATATTCCTTATCCTCGGTTGCACTTCAAAATATATTAACCATTAGATCTACGCAAATAAAATATAAAATGATTGCTCCTTTGATAAGTGTAAAATTTGTGCCACCTATTTAATCCTTTGATAAGCAATCAGACTTGAGTTTCACATGTATTAACTCCTCAACAACTAGTGTCCTCTCACTGTAAACCCTATAGATGATAGTCGAATCTGAATGTTATAGGCATATCCCTTGATCACTTTTTTGATTGATTGATGAAGGGATATTCTTGTCTTTTCAAATATGTTGACATTATTATCCAAATAAAGATAAAATATTTTAAGAATATATCATGTACCTAACTCTAAGACCCAATTCTGAAGACAACAAGGGTTTATAAGAAGCTATAGGTCCAAGTTCAACGATGGGTTTATTAACAATTGTAATGGTTTATGAGACGCAAAATACAGAAGCGAATCTTCATTTAACAACATTTGTAAACACGCAGATTATCCATGTCTGAAACTTGTTAAATTGGTACTAAACGTTAATCTCAATTATCAGATATAGTTTGATGTAGGTAATATAAATTTAGAAAGTTAATAATACGTCATCAAATTAAACATTGGATATTGATGCGTGGACTGTTTTATTGAACATTTACTACCGCGACCATGGTGATGAACAAGTTTTGAGGCGGTGTTTGCAGTTGAGATCAAGATCACATTATTTATGTTGAGGTTAGCATCGGGCTGGTTGATGCTGAGGAAGCTTCTCTTCAAGGAGGGAGTAGTCTGAGAGGCCGCATCATCACGTTGTCTTCGTGGTCGAGTATCTGCGTAGGAAAGAAGAGATGACATCGACACGCCGAATTGATCAGATGTAGCCCTTCTGCGTGGAGGAGGTGCTTACGTGGCAGTGGTAGACATATCCTGGCTCGGCGGTGACGTTGAACGGGTAGAAAACTGGGCTGGGCCGCAGCGGGGAGAACCGGACGACAAGCGTGGTTAGGTGGCCTGGCATCACCTTGAAGACGTTCTTCCACCCGCGCTCCTGCGGGGGCACCGGTGTCGGCGGCCCCCTGGCGTGCCGCCGTGCCCGGCACGCCGCCGCGTCGTTCCTCCTCGCCAGGCATGCTTTCAAGGCCTCGGGGTCCGACAGGCGGCGCTGCTCCAGCACCGCCAGCAGCCCCAGGTGAACGTGCAGCGGGTGGTTGTCCTCCGTGAGGTTGATCACCTCCCACAGCTCGCTGGTGCCCACCGTCGGCGTCTCCGTGGCTGGCTCGTCGTAGGACTTGCCGTTCAGCAGCAGCCGTGTTGGCTCGCCGGTGGAGGCCGTGTACTCGTACATGACGACGTAGCGCCGCCTCGCCGCGCCGTGCGGGGACGGCGTCGGGTACCTCACCAGCTGCCGCGGCAGGCACGAGGGATCCGCCGCCGTGCGCTGCTCGATCGAGAACTTCATCACCTTCCCGTTGGTGTCGTCCGTCGGATCGCCCGCCGGGTACGGGTACGGGGCGTCGTTCTCCAGCACTGCCGAATCGGTGGGGGAGACGGAGAAGTCGACGATGACGTCGGCGATCTCGGAAGGCCCCATCAGCAACTTCCGCACCCTCACCGGCCTCCCGAGGTAGAGGGAGTCGGAGGCCACTTGGTGGAACTCGAGTCCGTTGGAGAAGAAGAATCTGAAGAACCGGGCGTTGCTGGCGTTGAGTATCCGGAATCGGTATCTCCGCCGCCGCACGCGGAGGCGCGGCCAGGCTTTGCCGTTCACGACGACGGCGTCACCGAAGTACTCAGGCTGCCACTGCGGGTGAATGGACGGGTTGTCACCGGTGTTGTTCATGAAAATGGAGCCGTCGGCTCTGAAACTCCTGTCGAAGACCACCAGATGACGGTCGAACTCGTCGCCGGAAGGCAGGCCAAGAGGCTGCTCCAGCCCCGGCTCGCGGACGACGTAGGCGCCGAAGAGGCCGGAAAGTAGGTTTACACGGGTGAGCCCCATGGCATGGTCGTGGTACCACAGGTTGCCGGGCTCCTGTGCGTTGGGGTAGGAATAGGTCTCTTGCGACCAGTTGGGGCCTTTGAAGAGATACCCCGCCGTGAACCAGGCCATGGCGTTGCCGTCGCTGGCGGGGGCGGCGATGGCACCGTGGAGATGAACCACAGTGGGGACGCCACCGCCGGGGCCGGGGAAGGCGGTGGGGATGGTGGGATCCCACGGCAGGATGTGACTCGAAGGGAGGTGGTTCTGCCACGTCACCCGCGTCTCAACCCCACGTAGGGCCTCGATGGTGGGACCAGGCACGGTGGCGGCCTCTCTTCTGAGACCGTAGGCGAATACCGTCGTCGGCGGAAGATCGCGGTGGAACTTCTGCACCAGTGAGACAGGACGATGACCCACTGAGCCTCAATTTGTATAACAGCGAGCGAGAGCTAGCGAGAGAGAGAGAGACAGAGAGAGACCCAGGTCGTCTGAAACATGCCGATGGTGAGGGTTCTTGTTGAGGGGACGCCACCCGTCCGGAGATCGTAGCCTCTTATCTTGGGCATCTCCGGGAGGTCGTCCACGAACATCTCCAGCCTGGAGACGCCGAAGAGCCCGCCGTCGTCGGACGCCACGCGCACCACCACCAGGCACAGGAGCAGCTGCACCGCCGGACGCAGTCGCGCCACCCCCATTCCCATGCCTTCGCCGCCGAGCACCAAAGGGAAAGAAGCGGAGCATGCGACCTCCACGAGGAGACAGATATATAGGTGGGGTTTCCCCCCACCTTTCGAGACACCTGTGGGCGTTCTCCTGCTTTACAGCAGCGTAATCGACAAGGTGAGACCTTAGTGGAAGGCTCCGATTTTCCACGGCGGAGCAAAGGGGACTGACAACTTTTGAAATGGGGGAGTGCCGGCGAAGGGCCCGGCGGAAACCGGAACTGGCGGCCGAGTGATTGATCGCAGGCATCGGGTTCCACGGCGGCCCCGATCCCCAGTAAAAATGGAGCGCCAACTCGGTGGGTCAAAGAACCTGAGCCTGTGAACCAGGTCGAGCGTCAAAGAACCAAGTTAAAGATATTCTAGGGAAAAGCGAGAGGAGCGGCTGAAAACCTCTCGCAGGTGTTGGGCTTAGCTTCTGTTCCGCCTTCTCCTACTGTCGCCGCCGGTGGAGAGCAATATCCACCCGGTGGCTCCGATGGTCGACCTGTGACGTCATCACGGTGAAGAACCGAATTGACTCGGTGGTCCACAACAGCATTTTCTTTCTGAAAAGATTTTGAATTATTCAGCCTAATCCGCCGCTCATGTGCCAATATGGAGGGGATCCTCAACGACAAATCCTCGTCATCGGGAAGATAATCTTGTTCACTCAAGCAAAGGGTATACGTAGTGCGATCGTGCCACTGCAACACGATGGGAGGCGGCTCATTTGGGGGCTACAAGGGCCGCCTCTGCCCCAGTCTACCGCATGATCATCTTTACAAGTAGTTCAGGTTGGTGCAAGTTCGTGACGTGGCTCAGATAACCCCATTAAAAATTAGGACGGTTCGATGGACTGGTACCGAAATCCTCCCCCCAACTCATTCCCTCCTCTGTCTCTGTCTGTCTCTGGCTTTCTCACTCTCTCTCACACACACACACACTTTCTCCATTTCGGCGCAATACAGCTCGACCCGCCCGAAACGTTGATGGGCTTGCTTGAGATCATAGAGTTGGGCCAAATATCTTATTTAACTCTCGGGGCAGTGCTCGACTCAGCCCACCAAAAACATGGAGCGGTCGATTTAGTTCACTGTCGGATCTCTCTCTCTCGCTACCCAACTACCTACCGACTTATCAGCGTATCCTTGTAGATTGTCACTCGCAGATGACAGCTGCCGTTCGGCCCGAGGCTAGACTGAGCAGTACAGCCTATGAGGGCCATGACAGAGAGAGCACTGAAACCAAGAACGAGAGCAGGTGGGCGAGGTGGATGTCCTCTAGCGCTTGGCTGTGGGAGATGCCAGCTTACCGTCTTCATTGGGGCTTGTCCCACTTATTAACGGGCGTTTGGTGCCCTGCGCTAATCCTTGTTTGGAGAAAGAAGGAAATGATGTATACTTGGAAACCAGGGTTTCAATTAAAGATCCCAGACCCTCGTACACCTAACCCGGACAAGTGGAGTGCGTCTCGTTGTGTTGCTTGCTGCATGAAGGAATCCATTGACTTTTCCTTTAGAGGCCCGTCAAAATACCTTAGCCTCATCGAGAATTCGTATCCAAGTAATTCAAGTATAGTAGAGTTCCTGATTTGGCCTTCAGATTTTCCAATAAAATAAAAATCCTCAAGATCACAAACTTCAGTATATCCTAGTTATGGAATGGTGAGGGATATGTCGTATTAGATGCCTGAAGACATGGGAAATGTATGGGTTTCTAATAGTTTTGAGAATGTGAAAAAAAAAATCACATACTGAAAGGGTGTTAGGGTACTGATGAGGAAGAATTTTGGATGAAGAACACAATAATCTCTTGAATATTAATTACCTATTTTCAGATATAGAGACAATTTTTTGCGAAATACAAGTAAAAAGGCCACGCGAATGAGTTAACATTAATAATTATAAAATATAAATTTAAATGAAAATTTCGGTACATTGGTGACATTGTATTTCATCAAGGCATCAACATCACTAATTTTATTGATCGGTTCTTGCCAAAAGTTGAAGCTAGTCCCATCATAATCCTGTAGAGTCATGTTGGCACATGGAATAATCCCATGTCAGAATGGTCGTCTAGTTAAGGGAAACCGGTCAGATACGGGTGGTTTCCTCTTCTTCGGGACCGTGTAGATGTCGCTATTTTCTTAGAAACGTCAATTTTAGTAGTTACGCATCAAATCAAACCTCTGACATTCATTAATGAGGCTTGGGCGGAATGACACGTGCTTGTTTTGGCCCGCCACTTGACAGTTGTGCGTTGGATTTTCTTGTTCCTAAGTTGTTAAAAGCCAATTATTCAAATCCTAATTTGTCTCTAATATGAAACCACCAATTTGAATAGTGTCATGTCATTTGAGCGCTGAAAATGACATTCAAACGACCAATCAGACATCCAAGCGCTGAAAACCTTGCTAGATAGGCTTGTCCACTTCCATCAAGATGTTTACATCTATTTTCAGTTGTGGTTCTGGTTTAGATGCCGTACCAATCCACACTGCTGTCCTGTCCCCATGCGCGATTTCTCGGTTGTCCTCACTCTATTTTTATAATAAATCAAACTAAAAAGAATCATTTTACAAGGGAAACGTCAAATTGAACAAGTAAACACATTTTTAAAAATACAGCCTTAATTTATGTAACGCCACTTGATTTTCTGCTCAACAACTCTGTGCTTAAATGTTTATAAACCCATACTACGAAATGAGCATAAAAAAGTCAACATATGAAGGAATTCAGATTTGTGGCTTGTGCACCCTTCACTTCATGCGCTCATTTCTGTTGAGGTATACTCCTGTCAACACTTAATGAATCCTCTGGACCCTTCAGCCTTAATTCGCACGTTATTTGATCACCAATTTCTCTGCGCCCTGGGGAGGCGACATTTAGAAATTGACAATAATACACGGACGGTAGAACGAAAGCTAACAAACGAATTCTGGATTGGCCGAAGACGTATCTCCGTTGTCTTCGTTCTCCAAACGTCGACCGCGTCTCTCACTTGACTAGGTTCATCGGACGAATCATCTCGTTGTCTTCATGATCAAGAATCTGTTTACGAGATTGATGTGCAGCGAAGGAGCAGAGTAAGAGAAATCGCATAGAACATGCTCAAAATTTTCACATATTCATAGTAGTCAAGATTTGTTGGCGTAGTGCCTTCGGAATTCTTTAGAGATTCATCGTTGGAAGACTTACATGACAGTGGTAGACGTAACCGGGCTGGGCCGTCGCGTCGAAGGGGTATGGTTCGTCGGTGTCGACGAGGCGGAACTTGACGACGATGGTGGTCATGTGGCCAGGCTCGATCTTCACCACATTCTTCCACGTCTTCTCATGGGCGGGTATGTTCAGGATCTTTCCGGTGGCGTGGGAGGAGATGTTACACTTGACGGCGTCTTTGAACTGGGTCATGCAGTTCTTGAACGTCTCCAGGTCAACGATCTCCCGCGCCTTAATTGCCTGGAACACTGCGAGGTGGATGTGCAGCGGGTGATGGTCGGCGGTGAGGTTGATCACCTCCCACACCTCCGTGCTTCCCGCCTTCGGCTTCTCCGTCACCGGGTCCGTGAACCTCTTGCCATTGATGTACAGGTGGGTGGGCCCATCGGTGGCGCTCATGTACTCGTACAGGGTGATGTACCTGTCGGCATATTATCCTACATTTAATACGATTTTCTAAACAAAAATATACCTCCATACTGCCCTTAATTCTGCGTTGAACGGCTGGATTGTCTGAGAATACCTCTTCACTGACGCGTCGCTGGTCTTCGCTGCCGAATAACTCGCGAGGTTGGTGGGGATCCTCGACTCGTCTTTCGCATTCCCTGCCGCGATGATGAACTTCATCACCCTGCTGTTGGGCAGGTCGGTGGCTATTCCCCCAGGGTACGGGTAGGGAGCGCTGTTTGTGAGCTCCGCCTCGCCTGCGGTGGCCTTGGAGAAGTCGATGACGACGTCGAACCCTTCGGCTGGGGCCAGCAGGATCGTCGCCGTCCTCACAGGGGCCGAGAGGTAGGATGAGTCGGAACCCACGACGATAAACGGTAGCCCGTTGGAAAGGGCGAGAAGGAAGTGCCTGGCGTTGCTGACGTTGGTAATTCTGAAGCGGTACTTCCGCCGGCGGACCTTGAGGTACGGCCAGGCCTTGCCGTTGACCACGATGGCGTCGCCGAAGTACTCAGGCTGCCACTGCGGGTGAATGGATGGGTTATTCCCCGTCTTGTTCATGTAAATTGATCCGTCCGCGTTGAAGCTCCGGTCAGCGAGGATGAGGTGCCGGTCGTACAGATCGCCGGAGGGCAATCCGAAGGGATGCTCAACCTTAGGGTTTCGGATAACGTAGGCGCCAAGAAGCCCAGCCAAAAGGTTGATCCTTGTAAGCCCGAGGGCGTGGTCATGGTATAAGAGGTTCCCGGGGTGCTGCACGTTAGGGTAGGTGTAGACTTCCTTTGACCATGCCTCTCCCTTCTCGCGGTAGCCGGGAGTGAACCAGGCGAAGGCGCTGCCGTCGCTCTGCGGCTCGTTCACGCCGCCATGGAGGTGCACCACTGCGGGAACGCCGGCGTTCCTGGGGATAGCGGTGGGGATCGTTTTGTCCCACGGTAGGATGTGGGCCTGAGGAAGGTGATTCTCCCACTTTACGTACAGGGGTACCCCTTGGAGAGCCTCAATAACCGGTCCTGGGAAGGTGGCGGTGTCGGCGCTCGTGCCGAAGACGAAGACCGTCGTGCTCGGCAGGTCCCGGTGGAATTTCTGAAAGAAAAGAGAAGAAGCGATCGATCGTTTATAACAAAGACTTGGTTAGAATTTGTACTATCTAAAGGTTAATCGCAATCTGGCCGCCTACAAGCATGGGAATATGCAGTCCAAAATGTATTTCTA